TACAATTAATGATATAAAGAAATTCTGTTGGAAATGTTGAACTCATAAATTTACTAGTAATTAAACCTTAATGAATCATTAGTCATTTATTGAATGGATAAGGGATGATGGGAGATAATGGTTATCCCTCAAAGAGTGAATATGCCAATAATATATTTTAATATAAATCATTAATTAGCCATCTTTTACTTAAGTAAAAATGTAATGGTCATATGATTGCTTTTATTAATAAACAGAAAAAGTGTAACAACCAATTTTCATTACAGAAAATAGAATCAACCAACTTTATAAGACTTTCTTAATTTTATTAGAGGCAATATGGAAACTTATTTATGCACATTGTAGGCACCTATGCTAGGTTGTAATTGGGAAAATGAAAATGAAATAGATAACAATATTACCTATATGCGACGTTGTAACATTACAATCATTAGATATATTATGATATAATTAATTTTTTTATTTATGATATATCTGTAATATCATATATATTTATTAATATAATAACATGTCATAATTTTATAATTTTAAATATCATTGTAATCATTATGTAGTCAAAATGCTCATCATTTATGGGCTAATGATGGACCCAATGGAGAGCTCCCAATACGGTTAAATTTAACACAATTAAGTAAACTTAGGGTACTATGTTTATTTTAATTATTTCAAGTTATATGATAAAAATAACTTTTTATTTTAAAATTTTTAACTTATTTTATTACATATATCATCCTATTCAAATTCAAAATTCTTTTATTTTTACTAAAAAAATATATTACCACAACTTAAATTGTTGGCATCTCTTATCTTTTTTTGTATAGAGTAAATGTCGTAATTTTTATTAATAAATAAATTTCGGTTTTATTATTATTGGTGATAAAAGAAAATCATATGAGGGTTTTGTTATTTAATTTGATAGACAATTTTAATTCTACCATCTATAAAGCAAAACCCAGATCCTCTTCCGAGCATCGAAAAAATAAGGTCCATCAATAGTAACGGACCAAACACAGTAGAGATCACAGGTAGTGAAGTCTCTTGAATGTCTGTAAGCATCAAAACTTAAGGTCTTGTACCTCCAAGTTATGCGACAGAAATAAAGGGTTGTTCCCCAAATGTTGAGATTATACTTAAATTCATACACCTCCCCATACTTCAGCTCCACTTCCCCGACGTCTTCGTCCCCAGACTTGCAGTGCACCGTCAGTTTATCGGCAGGTTGCACGTTGTTGAAGATCTGCAAGGTTCGTGGACCGATGGAGACGACTGTTGTTAGTTCCAGCAGCAGGCTCAGCAGCAATATTACTTCCAGGATCAACCTTTTAACCCTAGCCATGGTTGTGGGTTTGTTTATGCAAATATTCTGCATCCATTTTCTTCATTTATAAATATATTTTAATAGATTGGAATCATTTCTGTTACGTAGTAGCAATTAAGGCTGATGTTATGGATTGAAGATCAGTGAACAAACAGAGTTAAAGATGTATAGTTACTAATGAAGAGCAACGGATACGAAATTAATTAAAACAATTAGTAACTTACTTCAACAAGTTATTGATTTTTTTTTTTAATTTTTAATTGTCAATGGTGATCATTTAAATTTTTATGATAAAAAAAAATGGCAATGTTATTAAATGCGCCCAAAAAATGCATGTTGCCATGATATTGTCAAATTATTGCTACTAGTTAACCCATTTAGATTATAATCACTCTCTTATCTTTTTTTCTTCCCTAAATAAATGTTAAATATAAGAAAAAAAAATGAGTTCTTTGATTCAACAAAAGAAAGTCCAATAAAACTTGTGATATATTTTGACCCTAATTATTAAGAAGCTAAAATTAAATTTTAGAAATGTCAATAGTTTTTTTTTAACGATAATTAATTTTATTTTGTAATTTAGACTGTATAAGTATAAGACTGTAATATAAATTATAAGGCAAATGATAATCTTTACTAATATTAGGGACTCATATGTCATCAATAATTTAAATCATGCAATTTTATCTATACAATACTATTTTATTTCTAACAAGGTTTATATGATCCATCTTCATTCTTTGACTTTTAAATTCTTTAGGTCAATGAATTAAGTAGTTTTATTGTAATTTGTCAATTAAAACAAAAATCTTGGAATTCAAATCCTTTTGTTCAACTTTAGTATAAAATTTTAATTTAGAGCATCTAAATTTAATTATCTACTTTTTATATTTTAAGATATCATTTAATATACTTATTTTTATTTATCTTTATTTTAAAAAGATGGTTATAAGTTTACAACATATATTAAATAAGAAAATTTATTTCAATACTAATAGTGATTAATTA